GGCTAAATCCATGTATGCGCTCACTAGCAGACCTATATATGAGCAAGGAGCCCCTTGTCGGAAAATCCTTAGGGGTGACTGGAATTTTCCCTTTTACTGGTGCCCACCGTGTGTTCGACTAAGTGTCTGAAAGAGACTTTATAATATTCAACTTGATTTCTGCTTCACATAAACTTGTTGTCTCCCAAAATTCTCTTAATAGTGTATCTATAATAAATATCCATGAGCTTTAATCCCCCCTTATATTGCATCTGTCCTTTATGCAGATTTCACATTTATTTATTCAAAGTTTCTCTTTTCTCTGTCGACTAATGTAGATGGGTTCATGGACTCTTTGCACTTAGATTTCCCTCACATACTTTTAGCCTTTTAATGTTGTCTCTTCCCTGAAAAATTCATGTGTCTGCCAGTTTGCGCTTCAAAGAAATTTTTGTGACACTTGTAAAAATATGTCCAATTAATTATTGTACATTTTGAGGTTATGAATCTCAACTCTAGTTTTGACTTTAGAATAAATTTAAAAAACCCCAAAATTATTATATTTTTCTTTTTTAAATTTTCCCCAAAATTAGAAGCTTATAAGCATCTTTGTTAAACATGGATAAATTAATATACATTAAAGAATTTTTGGCGGTTATGATACATGTTGCATGTAGCCCCTTTTCTAGGATATTATTGGCACCTTGAAACCTCTATATGTCTCTTTGTTAGCTTTATCTGTCTTGGGTCCAAATCAATATAAATATCTGATAGGACAATGGAAAATATATAACCCCCCCTCTAGTTATGGAAATGGACGAAAAAAATCTTCTTCTTTTTTAAAGACAATATTTGCCATGTGATCAGATGAAAAACAAACATGAAAATTTTAGTGATTTGGTGGCTCATGTGAGTAATAAGGCTTCAAAGAAATGAATAATTATTATCTACATGGATTACGGAGCATACTAATTGTCTTCCGTGATTATAAAAAAAGATTATATTATGTGATAAGAGAAATAGACACAAAGTTACAACCGGTTGTAACCAAGCTAGAAAATTTCCAAATCGACATTTCCTGAGGAAAGAGAAGGCTAAGGCACGCTTGCCTATTTTTAAAAGAAATTATACAAAAACAGTTTACAATGCAAATCATGCAAACCATTATAGAACAAATTTAGGCTTTTCCCTTCTTCTTTTTTAAGTTATTGCCCTGACTCATGTCTCATGCTCATAGCCGGCCAATTTATCTTATTTTATTTAGCAAACGACAATAATTTAGGCTCAATATTTTCTTTTGGTCCCGAATTTTTTCATAACTACGCTTCCTTTCCTCTCATAAATAACCATACCTTTTGGCTTTTGTTAACAAAAATTTGCATCCAAGGATCTTTCGAAAAGCATGTTATTAAGATCACTCCCTACCGTCCAAAAGTCTATAATAATCTTGAATATATAAGGTAGGATTGGAATTACTAGAATATTTACTATATATGTTGGTCCTATCTTGAACGGATAACTATTTCAATTTTAATTTTTAGTTTTTATTTGTTGTGGTAAAGTATAGAGGAAAAAGAGGGAGAATGGAAGTGAGAATGAGAGTGAAGATGAGATTGAGAGGGAAGATGAGAGAGGAGGAGGGAGTAAGGAGTAACAAAAATGAAAAAAAATACTAAAAACTAAAATCTATTTGAAATTGTTTTCACTTTTATTACTCTTCCCTCCCATCCTCTATTTCAATCTCATCCTCACTCTTATTCTCACTCTCATAAAAGATGAAAACTAAAAACTAAAATTGAAATGATTATCAAATGGGTTGCAGCTCATCCACTTAAGAAAGACTTCCATGAAATTCCCGGCCAATAAAATTATAACAAAAGTAATAATACTTCTATATAGCATAGCATTATTGGATGCATATAGCAAATGCAATCCTTATTGCAACGAAATTTTTCTCCCTTCCACCAACAGGGACTCGAAAACAATCGATGTAGAAAAGATAAAGGCAATAAGCAAGTGTTTCCTTTTCATCTATCTGTCAGGGTATTTTTGTTTTGGGATGTTGATTGATGTGAAACAAAACATTTCAAGCAACTCTTGTCGTACATTAAAAAGGGACAAAAACGTCATTTTGGTTTTTTCTCTATATATATGTATATACAGCTATCTGTTTATCTTAAATTAATTATTTTTCGGTCCAATGATCGAGCTACACTAAAACGCACAACCTCTATCAAAAAAACATGTTAAATTCAATACATGACATGCATGGAAAGCCATCACATAACAGGAGAACCTGCTACATGACATGCATGTTGTGAAAAAAGTTATATTTAACTTATAAACATGACATAATTACGTTTTCACAATAAACATGCGAGATCTACTACACTGTGAAAAAAGTTTTATAATGCTTATAAACAACTAAGATCAGTTAGATACGCAACATGCATGTGATAACTTTTTGTTTTTGTTTTTGTTCGTGTTTTTATTTTTTTGGGTGAATAATCGTTTTCACAATAAACATGTGAAGTTCAAAGTATAACATGCATGCATAACCTATTACAACAACAAAATTGACATGAATGTTGCAGAAAAAAGTTATATATAGTTGACAATGTCGTAATTACGTTCTCACAATAAGCATGTGAGATCTGCTACATCGTGAGAAAAGTTTTATAATACTTATAAACGAGAAATATTCGTTATGAAAGTGATATACATGTGAGACTCATCAGATAACAGTAAAACTTGCGTGTATTTATATATATTGTAAGAAAAGTTATCGATAAGAGATTTGTATCAGAAAACAGTAGGACCAACATGTCTATTGCGAAAAAACTTGATGTATATACAGTCATTTTCAGCTATCTAATAACATGTCATTTTAAAAGGGAGAGAAGATATACATGGAAATAATTCAGCTATCTAATAACATGTCATTTTAAAAGGGAGAGAAGATATACATGGAAATAATGTACGTAATCAAATAGAGGAGTAGCTGTGTATTGCTTTGTCGATTACATTTTCAGCTTTCCACTGAATCAAAATGCACAAACAAACAAAATTATTGTCACGGTGAACGAGAGCCATGCAAATTTCAATTTCTGCAGCAATTGATGAAGAAGGTTGTCTTGCGTGCAGTACTTATTGCTGGCTTATATCATCTGGTTCTTACTTCGAATTACAAATTAATATAAGAAATGAATGGATAAACAAATACAATATTGGAAAGATTTGAACATATTTTAATGAAATCAAGTAAGCCGCCATGCAATTATTTGAAAAAGGATAACTTAGACTCTTTATAACCTTTTTATTTTAGTTTTTTTCTTATGTTGATGAGGGTTTTTTTTTTTTTTTGGTTGAACTGTTGATGAGGTTAGTTAGCTGCCTCCTAAGCAATTAAGAGAACGAGTTTTTAGATAAACATATATCGTGCTTCGAATTTTCACTAACATTGAAAAGAAAAATATCATCGGATCGAGAGTTAATTGGTGTAACTTTTTTATTTTCCTCCCTCAACTGCTTTCGAGTCCAGAAAAAACAAATGTGGCCCCACCTTCCATCAAACCCATGATCAAAAATTGCTCAACTCTAGTTCATTCTACTTGAAGAATACTAGAGATCCCACTTTTCTGCAAACGTTGGCAGTACATGCATACACTGAAATCTTTGGTAAGTTGTCATGTCATGGAGATCATGCTCTTTGCTGGAGCTTGTTTCTCCCTTTTCTCTGTTTGTGATGAAGACAAGCACAAACTTGGTGACCTTGAGGACATGTTTAATCCAGATTGGAATATATATAAATTTGTGTGTGTGTGTGTGTGTGTGTTAATGCTGCTGGTACTGGAAGTTAGGCTTTTTCTTTCCGCCCCAAAACACTTTATTAGTACTTAGTAACTTACCCATTAATTGCAATCAAATCATTTGCCATGTTAGCTTAATTGTTAGTAAGATAGATTACAAAGGATAATATATAAGATGCTAAATTGTGCGAAGATGAAATGAAACAACACATCTAATTTTGGAGATCCATAAATCATTCTGTGCCCAAATAAAAAACCCTTTAGCAGGTTCAGCCCTCTAGAATGATAGAATCAATCCCATCACAACTTGCCCAAAATGGGGTTCTTTGGAGCAAAAGACCAGAGGGAGTTGTCCTGTCTCATCTCCCTTCCACCTTTAATTAGTGTATCTGTAAACACTTGTAAAATCCTTGAGTTTCTCTAACAAATGCAAGTTTTTTTTTTTTTTTGGGGTGGGTCAAATGTAAAAGTTTCCAAGTTCAAACCCAATTGCAAAGAAAGATGATCTAGACCTAGAACTCATAGACTCTATGAATGTATGTGCGTGGGTTGGGTTGGTTTTGAGGGATGTTAAAGTTAAAATGAAAGTATTATAGCCATGGGATAAGAGACACAGAGTGAGAGAGGAATGACGCAACAGTAAAAATAATAAGATTCTAATATTTGTTTACCGACCTCCCCAATGAACAGTCTTGGCTGTTTCTCTCCACTCCCTCTCACCTTCCTTTTAAACTCTGTCCTCCTTGCTAACTCTTCCTCAATAACCAACTCTCTCTCTCTCTCTCTCTCTCTCTCTCTCTCTCTCTTACAAGTACCAACCCAACAACCAACAAATAGTGCTCTTCCCAGTTCCAAAACTAAGAAGGCTGCATTATATGCTAAGCATGCCAATGCCGCCTCTTCAACATCTCCCACCAACAAATGAAGCAAAGAATGAAAATGAAGAAAACCCTTTGGTTTTTGATGCTTCAGTTGCTCAGTACCAATCCAGCATACCCTCCAAATTCATATGGCCCGACCACGAGAAGCCATGCCCTGAGCCACCAGAGCTTCCAGTTCCTCCCATTGACATGAAAGGCTTTCTCACAGGGGACACTTGGGAGGTCTCAAACGCGACTCGTTTAGTCGATGAGGCATGCAGGAAGCATGGATTTTTCCTCGTTGTTAATCATGGAGTTGATTCGCAGCTCATAGCAAAAGCTCATGAATACATGGACTTGTTCTTTGGCATGCAACTCTCACAGAAGCAAAGGGCTCAGAGAAAGACTGGTGACCACTGCGGATATGCCAGTAGCTTCATTGGCAGGTTCTCCTCCAAACTTCCATGGAAAGAAACACTTTCTTTCAGATATAGTGCTGACAGCCACTGCTCAGTCAATGACTATTTTGTGAATGCAATGGGTGAAGATTTCAAAGAATTCGGGTAAGAACACATCATCAAGAGTATAATGTTGTGCTTCTGCAATAAAAGAAATTTATCTACTCAAATTAATTTCATGATCTCTATAAGTGGATTATGTCATCACCAATCACTAAACCAACAAAATAATCATCATGATCTCATACATTACCAATAGCCCTTTACTTATGCAGCATATTTTTTCCCTGCTAGGAATGTGTACCAAGAATACTGTGAAGCCATGAGCAATCTCTCTAATGGGATAATGGAGCTGCTGGGAATGAGCTTAGGAGTTGGCCAAGAGTATTTCAGAGAATTCTTCGAAGGAAACGATTCAATAATGAGGTTGAACTACTATCCCAGGTGCCAAAAACCAGATTTAACACTAGGAACTGGGCCTCACTGTGATCCCACTTCCTTAACAATTCTTCATCAAGATCAAGTAGGCGGCCTTCAAGTGTTTGTAGATGAAAAGTGGCGCTCTGTTACTCCAAAGCCTGATGCTTTTGTTGTCAACATTGGTGATACATTTATGGTAAGTTATTTCATTTATGAATTAGGCTCAGTTTGTTTAGACAGAAAATCTTTTTCGTTTTTCCCCCTACGAAAAGTCTACAAGACTCCAACATGTGGGACAAAAACAGGACCTTCAGAAGACTTTCTACACAAAATATGAAGCACTCTTTATGGATTTGAATATGTGCTTTCTCTGATGTGATTTTTCAGGCTCTATCCAATGGGATTTACAAGAGCTGCTTGCATAGAGCAGTGGTAAACAACAGAACTGTGAGGAAATCTCTTACTTTCTTCCTGTGTCCCAAAAAGGACGGGGTGGTGACCCCACCAAGAAGTTTGGTTGATACCAATAACCCAAGGATGTACCCGGACTTTACCTGGTCTACTTTGCTAGAGTTTACACAGAAACACTACCGGGCTGACATGAAGACGCTGGATGCCTTCTCGGACTGGATTATAAATAAAAACAACTAACCATGAAAGAAGCACCAGGAAAAGTAGGTGTACGTAATGCTTTGGTGGGTGTTCATGGGAAAAGATGACAGAAACACCAAGAAGGGAGGAGAGGGAACTAGGCTGTTAACTAGTGTGTCATCGTCGGAGAGAATCATGTCAATTTGGAGGCATAAATAAGTTAAGGGACTCCATATCTTCTTCTTAATTTTACTTTTCTGTCAATTCAACAATGAATCATTGTAATTATAATATATACTTTGTTGACCACCAAGCTGTGTTGTTATTGGACTTCCATAAACTATTCTAATTAATATCTGCATGTACAGCCGTCAACTTCCAAAGAAATTATGCCTCTAAGCATGATATCAAAGTAAAGGAACAAATAGACAGTATTATTAATCTAGAACAATGTATACTTTACTATATCTTAATTACTATGAGAAATTATATGCAGGGTGAGGTTTTTCTCATTTCATCCTCACAAGTATCGACAGTGACGTGAGTTTTAACTAGTGGGGTAATGTCCTTTGCTTAAGATGCACAAATTTTTAATATATAAATTGGTGTGCATCTTTGCTTTTTTACTACTTCAACCAAAAGCGAAAAATAGTTTTTAGGTAAACATTAAAGAAATACTTGTAAAGAGAACATATGGCTTAGAATTAGATTCACAACCAAGCACCATAACTATTTTATATTAATTTTTTGTAGTTTAATATTATCAATTATATTCTGTGTAGTTCAGCACCATTGCAATGGAGCACAAAATCAATTCTTTGTCAAATCAATTGAAAGAACTACCATTTGTTGGTAACATGAAAGTTTACTAAAGTGTGTTAAATCCTGACTATAATCTTATTACTATTGTACATGTTTACTTACCGGAAATGGAAGAAGCCATGAATTAGGGAATTTATATTAGAGAATCTAGGTATTGGAATCGGATCAACTACTCCCCTAGTTGATACCATTCCCGATTTTTGAGGGTATTTAATTACGGATTTTACGGTGGAATTCGCATAATATTTTATTCCTTATTTGTTAGTAAACGCGGGAAATCAGGAATTGGAATCATTCCAATACCCATGCATTAGTCAACATAGGAGAAGCATATATTGGATTCATTCCAATACCCATTCCTAATAAGTAAACATTCCAAAGACCCTTTGTTAAATAAAACTGTTAGAAGACTACACAAATGTAATTAAGCCATATTTTTATTAGCCTAATTTTAGCCATAATTTTTTTTATTAAAAAGAAAACACCAACAACAACACAAAAAAAAAAAAACAATTGGAAAGCAAAGCATTACCAGAACATCCATGGCCGAAACACCAAGAATTGAGAAGAGCTCAACCAATGTCAGCTGCTGAGTACCCACGAAAACCCAAGAGCTTGAAGCCTCAGACAACAACAAAGTGAAAAGGTTGAAGCAATTCCTCAGTTGCCCAACTGAAAACGATCAAATTGAAGCCAATGCGTGAAGGACCAAAGATAGGCCAAGGCGTAGCGAAGCAGAGTGTGGAGGTCAAGCTTGTGAGCTTAAGGGGTGGAGTGGATGACAAACTTGAGAGAGAACGATCGGGTTTTGTGTGGGAGATTTTAAAAATAAAAGAAAATGAAAAAGGCCAATATTTTACTTCTTACTTTTTAAAAAGCACTTTTTTTAATGTCTGCCCAAATATGGTTTTGAATACCTTTTGGTAGTTAGAAGAAGAAGAAGAAGAAGAAGAAGCAAGAATTGGGGAGTGATGGCTACTTTTACCTTTTATCTTCTTTCATCTTGTTTTGATCTTGCAATTTAATTTGATAATCGAAATTGTTTAATTTATAAATGGATATTAAAGGCATTTTTAGATAATTAAAGGCGTCTATGAGAATGTTTAGCGAAAAAATGTAAAAAGGCCTCTAGGGTATAAAAGCACTTGGGGATGCATTATGGATCTGGAGGAAGCACGTGTTCTTTAGAAATGCACTTTCGAGAAGCACTTGGATTTTTATTAGAAATTTTGACGTGCTTCTAATAAAAGTGCTTCCAGTCAAAGCACTTTATGAATAAAAGTCATTTTCCAAAAAAGCATTTCCAAACGAGCTTTAAAGGACTTATAGTTTGGTTGAGTTTATTTAGTAATGATACTTTAAGGATGACTTAAATAGTTAACAATTTAATTATCATACGACAATGTATAATGAGAATGAGAACGAAGGGAGGTCTCATTATCAAAGTTTGAACTTCCCTTAAGAATCCATTACTACTCAGCAGTGGGGTTCTTACATCTCTCTCTCTCTCCCCAACACAACTTGGTGGAGCACATCACATAAAATCACATTACTCAGTAAATCCTTGTTGAAAGATTTGTGGCTTTTTTAGAAATCCATAGAACGGATGTTGTATTTGCGGTTGAAAAAATCTCTTGTGCAATATTATTGACCCAAAGTCTAAACCACTAATTCAATAATTGATCAAACCCAAACATTTGGCAAACAATGCAATGTCTTCCACTACCATAAAAACTCATAGGCTTATGTGTTCCATTGGCTTTTGTGCATAGAATCTAGGGCAAGAAAATTCCAATTATATTAGAGTGGTCAAGAACAGGGAGTTTGAACTTTTAAACCAGTTAAGAGTTGTGCACAAAGAAAGTACAATTAGAGATCATGTGTGGGAATCTCCCAATGGACCAAAAAAAGAAAAGAATATTCTGAAAACTCAGTTGTGTCTTAATATCATTTGACCAAGTGTACCGTAAAATAAATAGATTTTTTTATATTAAAAATAAATTTAAAAAAAGAAAAAAACAGCAAACAAAGAGATTTTTTTGTGACAAATGTCATTATTCTAGAAAAAGCATGAACCTTTTGACATTAACATATACATGGGATTCTCAGTTGGATTGGAAGACAGAAGATAGAATATCTCAATCATTTTATCTCATGACATCATAGCCTTTTCACCCTCTTCATTGTCCGTACAGGTGCTCTGTTTGGCTTTGGTTGGGAATTTTAATAGGTGGGTATATAGATAGGGATTGATAGATAAAAAGTGGTGGCATTTCATGGCCTTAAGATAATGGGGGGCATAGATTATCCCAAGTGTTGATTTGTGGTTGTGTGTGAGAGATAGTGGGAGATAAAAGACTTCTCTTGTGCTTGGAAGATAAGAGTATCACATCACATCCAAGCAAAAGAGAAGATTGACTACCATTCAGCCAATGACACATAGCCACCATTTTTGAAGTATATAGTCTAGACTAGTAATATCATTGTTCATGCCACTTTTTGCTGTTAAAATAGACAGAAACAAAAAAAGCAGCATAAGTTGCTCTTTACAATGTAGCAGGTGCAGGAGCAGCCAGCCAAATAATACAATATGTGCCCTAAACTCTTTTAGTTTCTGGGAGTTCTATATGAAATGAATTTCTGAGAGTTCCATATGAAATGAATCCCTCATTAAACTGTACTTCAGATTCTGACTCCATGTATAGAGATATATGTTTTCATTTAATTGTCAAGAACAATGTTCGCTCCAACGGGTTTATAGCTTGAATCGTTAACATCATTTATAATTGCATAACAGGTCTCGTGTTCAATTTCTCCTAAACGTCATTTGTATACCAATGTGGTCTAGCACAGTGAAAAAGGATCTTGACTTGAAGATCAGTGGTATCAAGTTCCAACCCTCATGTCATTTTAGTAGTGTGTGTGAGAAATCTCCCTCCCTTTTTGAGTTTAGACTATCACTTGTATTAAATACAAAAAGAACAGGTGTTCGTTAATGAGGGAAAAGAGTATATACAAAGATGGGGAATAAGACCAGACAGCCCAATAGACCCAAAACACAAGACAACCCAATATACAAGGGGAGGCCCAAAACTAAGTGGTGTCTTATCTCTTAAATGGGTCTCATTATCTCTGTTCTTATCAAGCGCCAAGCATTTTAGAAGACCAACCACTCATTGCTAAGGAATGATGCAAAGAAAATTGCCAATAGAAGTGCCATTTTCAACCAATTTGCCTCCACAAGTTTACATGTCGGCAATTTCTGAAACGTTGAAACAGTGAAGTGAAGCAGAAGAATAGCCATGAGATGAGAGCACTCATTTCTCGTATCACATGTATTACATACAATACACTAGTAGAGAATTAGCACTCATTCAACAACTGAAAGATCATTAAAAACATGACAAGCTCATGATCCAAGCAATTCATATATCATGTCCCTTACAAGTTGCACTACCCAAGCGAGCATGTTGTTCAAAGAATACAGAATCTTGGACATTTAATCCTAATCATGTCCAACATCTTACTTCTGAAACAAAATAAGGTATCGAGTTTATACAGGTCATCAAGGCAAAGGAATTTGTTGTTACCTTGTTACTATGGGTGAGAGAAATGATGGAATGGAATTGAATGAATTACAAAGAAGAATAAACAATGTGGATTATGGTAAAAGAAAAATAAGGGAATACCTCCTCCCGATGAACCAAACATAACCTAAGTGACTTGTCAGATGAAGGTAACAAGGAACAAGAGAAAGAGACCGAGAGAGAGTTTCCACTATTTACGGTTATCACGTTCATTGACTTAGCTTGCAACTGCGAATATAGGGATGATCATACTTAATGTACTTGGTCCAGTATCCTCGATACTTTGTCATCGCCAACTCCAGCCATGGTTTCATGTTGCCATTATAGTGTACAACAGCTGCGTTATCAATCTCAGATCGATCAAGACTTGGATTGTAACCTAAACCAAGTACATGCCATGACTTTTGTAGTGGATGTGTGAGCCCATAAAACGTAATTAGCCCCGGAGGTAATGTTCCAAGTTTCCAAAGTGTCCTGTCTTCATTCTAAAACCAAAAAAAGTAAAAGAATTATATCAGATGGTCAATTTTCATAGGGGTAAATAAATAAATAAAATATTTATTTAAACAAAAAAGCAATTGCCAAGAGTGATGGGTCTTGTGGCTGATTTCACCCCCAAGTGCAGGAGAAATGTAAGATTCCAGACTCTCACCATGTTCTGCCACTTGTGATAGATACCAGTAATATCTTTCTTTTTCCACTCCTTAAGATCAAACATGTTCATTCCATAAGCCCATCCACATGCGTTTGGATCAAAGTTTCTTGCAATATGAGGATTTGAGAAGTTTAGGTACTTGTCAAACCGGTGGAAGCTCTCACCACAGGTTTCTACTGCACCATTCACTTTTCCATGCAGATCGACAGCCCACAATCCAGTTAAGTCTTTCTGAACAACAATATCATCATCAAGAAACAGGATCTTATCCAACTTGGGATAAACCTGTGGAAGATAGAACCTCAAATGGTTAAGCATTGAGAGATACTTGGGGTTCCTGTACTTCAGATTAGAAGCGCCAGATGAGAGAGTGGTAGGATGGTCAGCCTTGAAATAATAGTTTTTCATTGCAGCAGACTCGAGCTGCCGCAGAACTGGGCAGTATGATGAGTTTAACCACTTAAACTCATCAACATTTTCAACATGAATGGTGGCTTTTCCAGGAGGATTCAATAAGAACCACATATTCATGGCTCCAAAGTTAAGCTTATCAGTAACAAGATGGAATACGTGTTTTGACGGATCCTGCAATCACCCAAGAAGCATAAATAAGTCAAATGAGAGAGCAAGAAACCTGCTTCTGAGTTCAGTAATAAACATTATCAAGTACTACAGATGACGAACATTTCGAAAAAGGCTAGCCTACCACAAGGGCATGAGCCTCAGCACAATAATAAAAGTCCAGTCAACTTTTCAAATTTCCTATGGGTAAGATACACTAGAGAGGCAGCCCATTTAGGAAATATAAGCACAACTCATGATCAAACATCTTTTAATCATCTCATCAGACTTCCACACCTAGCATATTTAAAGAAAGGTTATTGGGATAGATAATTAGCATGTATCTCTTAAGAACAACCATGGGGTGAATTCTATAATTTTCAGGCCTCATATACCAGAAATAGAACTCCCATAGAAGTTGAGATACCTTGGATTCTGACCTTCCTCAAAAGTATCATAGTGATGGCAAAACAGCAAGCATGGTTAAAAAGAATGGTTTCCAATTCTTTTGGAAACAGACACAAAGACACGCACAATTAAAACACCAGTATAGAATAAGACAGTTCAGCTCACCTTGGCGTTTGTGACAGTAGAGTTGACGACGACCGATGCAGCCAAGACGTTGTCTGAGAAGAGAGCATAATGATAAAGATTAGGATTTTCCAGGTTCTCACTTCTGGGGAATTTTCTCTTCTCAGGTGAAAGGAGGTAATAATCTATGGTTAGGCGCATAGACAAGCAGTGGATTCCATTTGGAATGGTCTTGGCAGCTAACTGACTCAGAAATGTGCTCTGCTTTTTCAAGCTCCGTACTTGTTCATCTGCAGTCTGAAGCATTGCTCTCAGCTTCCCAGTGACCAGGTTGCAATCATACAGTTGCTCTCTCGCTTTTGAAAGAACTTGGCCCATAGCTTTTATTTTCTCGGGTGCACTACAAGCGAGTCGGGTGTTGATTTAGTAAGAAGTGTCATAATTTTTAGTACAGATAAAAGGAAGAGATGCAGATTTATATTACACACTCAAGATAATAACATGCCCATAATCATGCTACCTTTGAGATAAATCTGCATCTGCAGTTGCATCTCCCACTGAACGCTGAGATTCTTTCAGTCGAGTCTGTAATTGTTGGAACAGGTCAAGCTTGTTCTTCATCTTTGCAATACTTAAGTAGACCCTTGCCATTATGATTTGGTCCCGGATCAAGCGCACTGTTGAATCAGAGTTCTCATTCTCATTTTCTTTCCTCCAAATGCTGTATTTTCCCAGAACTGAAGAGTCAACTGATTTGGAGCGCTCAATGGCTGCATTTTCAAGCTTTACAATTGATTCATCATCCTGTTGTACCAACTCATTTGCACGCTTTTCGCGTCTCTTCTCTCTTAATTGCTGCAGAAGTGCTTATAAAAGCACATATTAGAACCTTTAAAAATAATAATAAAACAGGAGCATACCCAAGTAAACATAACCTTGGTTTAATTACAGTTTATTTCATTTCCATTCTGAGTTTGCTAACATGGATTAGACATTTCACGCAAGCAAGAACCATATAACAAGCTTTGACGAAAAAAGAAACATATAACAAGCAAAACATAGAGCACACTGGAGTATGATAATTACCCGTCGGGCTAGTTTTGCAGGATCAACAAGTTGAGCATGATCACCTGCAAATGATAATAAAATAAAATAAAAAGCAGAAATTTTTTACGGACAAAAGAAAGTAATGTTGAAAAGATATTACCACCTGAAGATACATCCACTTTAACCTTAGGTGTCTCTTGTCTAGCATCTACAGCTGTAAAATTTATCTTTACACAGACAATCCAAAACGCAAACAATCAGCAGCAACAAATGGATGACATTTTTGCAGCAGTAGCACACAAGATTTATCAGGGATGGTTTAAAAAATCAAGAAGAAACATAACAGACGTACTAACCTTATCTGTAATTGAAGTCTTTTCCCCATTGACTTTCCATGAAGCTGACAAATTGTTTTTTCTGAAGAAATCAAGGCTCAAAGGCCCCATGTCATTCGTGTTGGCTGCAATTACATCAATTACCTAAATGTTGATCCAATCAGTGTACTGGTTAGGAAGAAAACTCAACAAAATATAAAAATTGCCAGCACTTATATGAATGACATGTAGATAACTCATAGATTCAATCAAGTTGAACTTGCCTCTTTTGAGAAAAGAGATTTGACATGTTGCAGCGCCAGCCTTTCTCTCCAATCCACATTCTGCACCAGTCAATTAATTGTTTCTTGTTCACAAAGCGTTTTTTTATTGGTTCTGCTAGAAGTAGTTATACACTACATAAGATTTGAGACAGAAATTGATGGAAGTATGAAGCAATACCTTTTCACCAGGACTGGATAAAATGTCATTTTGATCTGCACAAATAGCAATAATCAATTATAGTAATGCTAATAAAAGACGAGTCCACTATGCCAAACCATCCATCGGGTAAGAAAAAAAACATTATTCTGTTTGGGTTTGATGTTACAAAAAATTTCAAGATTCCAACAGGAGTTGGCCCAGGTGTACATGTAAACAAGATATAAACAGACATTTTTTCAATAGGATTTTTCACGGATTATAAGGTTGACCAATAATTGGCCGAGCATAAAACAATTGTGCAAAAACTGGTAAACAACTTCATATATTTACTGCTTAGCTATGTTTTGCAGTCTTTGTTGAATTATTTTAGCAAGCATCCTCTAGCTAGACCAGTGGACAACTTGTGCTTTGGATTGTTCAGTTCTTTCTTCATGAAATTATGTTTCTTATCAAAGAAACTTCGTATCAAAAGATTGAAGAATTAAATTTAGAACATTAATATATCTGAGCCAAAGACAAAGGAGCCAACTCAAAACATGGGCACAACATGTGTTGTGAGTATTGTGACAGAAAGGGACATATATCTCTGTTTTTAGACACTCGTATAGCTTTATATTATTCACAAGTAACTTTCCCAATTTTTATCCTCTCTGACTTCTTGTGAGTCATGATCAAGAGGGTAGGAAGTGCACTCCTCCAAAAGACACAGAATCCATGACACTTCTTCCATTTTATCACTTCAACAAAACTTCCCAATTAACAGAACTTATTCATCAAGACGTAGTCTTGGAAAAAAAAAATTACTGCATAAAGTGAACCATACGAGCCAAAAGAATTTTTGTTGTATATTCTTGTCTACATTCTAATAAAAATAAAAATTCTTGTACAATAGGCTGTATGTTCACTCTTTTCCTTTCTATACATGTAACATTAGCAAGAAGTAAACTCTCAAAGTGCTATAATTTTTTCCCCAATATCTAAGAATAAATCAGTCTAACACAAAATGGAGTTGGGAACAGGTTTTTCCTAGTAACTTAACATCAGAATATTGAGCATTCTTTAACCACATATACAAGTATGTGACCCAACTACAACAACCTCTTGTAAAGGTAAAGGTAAAGCATATTAGTCCACAGACTCGAAGTAAATCAGGAGAGATGCAGGACAGTGAGTTATGTGAAGAAATTAAATATATGAATTTAACGCATAAACTCATATTGTACAAGCCTAGTGAGTTATGTGGTTCAGAATATGTATATGTCCAAAAGGAGACTGAAAATTGAAGTTACCACCTACTGAACTGAAAACAGTCTGCACCCCTCAGTTCTCATCTTCTTTATCACATAATATACCCTTAAGATACAATTTGATTCTATATGTCAACATCAAGAAGAACAAACAACCACTTTAAACCTGGAAATGCTTTGAATAATAGGCTAGAATGGTCCACAACTACTGCTTCATTTTATAAATACTAATCTAGTCCAGTCGTATTTCCTAGCCAGCACTCAAAAAAAACACAAACCAAGAAATGCCCAAGTGGTGCGCAGTTAAGCTCAAATATAATCTACCTACAAGATGTGAATGACTGACTACATAATCCATATACACCACAGCTGCTAGATTAAAAAAAAAATGTAAATCCTCATCAAAAGGATAAGCACGCTGACAAAGTTAAATTTATCACCAAAATCCACTTATAATTTGCCCACTGATGTACCAAGACAAAGGTAAATTCTCCATTTTAATCACGTAAGGAACAATCAGAGTCATTTGATTCAGAAACAAACACAATTGCAAAGTCTGAAACAAATGTAGAGCATTCTTCAGGCCTCCAAAAATACACTAGCATCATATTGCTAACACTTGAAAAACTAACATTCATGATTATCAAAGCAGTAATTGTATCAATAAGGCATTGACTTTAACCGTTTTCTGATATTCTGAAGCAAAGAAAACAGCAATTGCAATCAAAAAAGGTAATTCTCCTTAATGCGAAGCAGAAAAGGAACCTAATTGAGATCTAGTGCAAACCTAAATTTAAATTTCACACAAACGGATACGTACATATAGACATATATACACATTTCTCAACATAAATAAAAAAAATTAAAAAAGAAATTAAAAGAATTGAGCACAGACCAGATATGTGGAGGCCACGACCGACGAAGAAAATCAACGGAACGAGAAGTGAAAAGAAAATAAGAATCGCAACAGGGAATCGAGATCCGGAGGCTCGGTTTCTCTGGACGCCCGCACTCGACAGCCCGCGCTTCAACGCCATTGCCAATCAATACCTAGAGTTAAAAATCAAGACAAAAAAAGAAGTCAGAGAATCAGCCAGAAAGAGAGAGAGATATATATGCATAGAGAGAGAAAGAAGAAATTACAGAAGGATCTTGAGGAATTGGAAGTGAACAGTGTGGCTAAGAAAGCCTAATGCGAGCCAGAGACTCAGAATCCATGGAAGGGAAAAAGTGAAGAAGAAGAGACTGAGGTCCTTGAGGAGTGTGATTTCAAGCAAAATTCCACGTCGATTTTGTTTTGTGTTTTATATAATTTTGGTTTGGGAGTGTTTTGCTTTCCTTCTTCGCGTCTCTTTCTTTTCTGTGGCCCAATTACACAACAAACCAACACAGAGTTTAAATAATAAAATAATCCATAGTGTTTTTTCTATAATAACTGAATTAACTACGTCGGCCATCCAAAAAAGAAAAACTACGTCTGCCATCGCTTTCATTATAGCTGTCATTGGGGCAACAACAACTACAGAAAAACACGCCAAAAATCAAAGACCCTGTTATTGTGGCGCTTTTTTTCCACACATTTTAGGGCTAGTTTGGCATTACTGTGCTTTAAAAAAAAACTGATTCTGCTGTGCTGCGAGAATAAATTGCTGTAAATAAAAGCAGTTAGTCGTTCGGTAAACTATATTAGAAAAAGTGCTGTGAAGAGTCAAAGTGTTTGGTAAATTTTTATCAAAAGTGCTTTTAGTGTATATAATAATCAAAAAGGACATGATGATGAAATTATCCCTTTTTTCTTTTTATTTTAATAACAAAAGGAAACCAACTTCACTACATATAATTTTTTTATTCTTTTTTTAACACTTAACACACATATTTTACCATAAATTCTAAATTATTATTGTGATTAAATTTTAAGTAAACAAATATATAAATTAAATTAAATTAAAAAAGGTAACCTAAAACATAAAATATAAAAAAACAAACCCATTCCCACCGTGCACCCCCACCCCCATCTCAGGTCTCCCAGTCATGCTCTCTCTCTCTCACCCACCCACCCTATCCCCATCCCAACCTCTCTCTCTCTCTCTCTCTCTCTCTCTCTCCATCGCACACACTCAACACCAAACCCAGCCAAGAACAGCCGTATGAACCTGCTACCTTTCTTGGCGACTATGGCTATGGCGCGAGTGGCGTTCTTGACAAAGAGGCTATCAGCTTCGGAGGAAGAGAAGGTGGACTGGAGAATTTGGACTCGGCGGCGAACCAATTCGAACGAGATTCTATTCTTCCCTAAGGATATGTGTTGTCATTCTAGAAAGTTATTAGGGGCTTTTGGGGAATATGAAATATTCATTAAAGGACCGGTTAAATTTTTTTCGAAGCAGCTTTGAGAAGCATGTCTTGGGCTGCTTTGAGAATCTGCTGCCAATGACCTGAGTTTTTAAAATAAGTCAGCCTTTCTTGGTTTTACCAAACGGGTCGAAACCCAAAAATTTTATTAAAAGCTGCTTTTTTATTAATCGCAGCAACCCCAAACACTACCTTAGAAGTCCCCAAAGAAAAATCGAGGGAAATAAATCAGTATTTTTATTATTTTAGTTTTTTATTTAGGACCTTTCTTATTAAGAGAGGCGATAGTATACTAAACTCACACACACTACACAGATGCTAGGACTCGAACCCAGGACCTTGCTTGAGAAAATCTCCAAACCACTACATTAATAGGTCCTTTGTAAAATTCACTGTTTAGAGCCACTTCACGATTTACTTAACTTCTCAAAACTATCTATATTTTCACAATATAGTTCAACAATCATAACTGTCTATATTTGATGTTTTTTTTCCAGGGTCATTCATGTAAAAAAAAAAAATTCATATAATTGGAAAATGTTTGATCATCTAAAATATGCAAAGAAATATGATTCATACGATAAAACTGAAACAAAATATGTGAATAATTGAATAGCTAAATAATTTCCACTTTAACCCATTTTTTGGATTCTTGAAATATTATATAACATAAATAAGATGTCCTTGTTTTTCTTAAATAAGGGCATACTAGAGTTAAAAGATTTAAACATTTTGAAATAGAATCCCGTTTTAATCGTTCTAGTGCAAACCTAATCTTATGTTTATGTTCATCCGTAGGTTTGAAACCCAGGCACCGGGTGAATATTACACATGCAACTATTGTAAAAAAAAATATTATAGGGGCCAAGTATACTCTATTTCTCAGTAATCAACTTCTGGAGAGATCTGGATGGTTTTGCATATGATGTGGTTTTTGCTCCAAAATATAACATTTTAGCGTTTTATATATATATATTTCACCAAAATATGGAAATAATCAATTACATTCTTTAACAATTTCAACTCTTTCTATTTTACTCCCAAACCCTCTCCTTATTTCATTCTTATTTTGGTTGCACTGTTCCATACCAGTGTTCTTTCCAAACACTACCTTGCTCTTAATTCCCATCGTATTTATTATACTGAAATTTCAGATGTAGTGCTGACACAAATAAGGAGGAATGTTTCTATGGTCATCCTCATTTTGGTCATCTCATATCCCTTTACATCAAGCAAAAAGTTCTTACAGAAAATTACCTAAGCGGATAAATATCCGAAAAAGCAATAAACATATAAACAAATTCAAGCTACCATGGCATCTTCATGGCCTGAGCAACCATGGCAGTAAAAGCATGGTTGCCTTGGCTTGATGATAGAGCCATGGTCCTATGGTAGAATGATTGCCTCCGCTTCTCTACATAATCGCCACATCCAAGTAATCTCCAATCTGCATATCAGAAGCATAAGTCAGAAACGGGGGATGTCAGTCAGATATATAATATACGGCACGAAAAATAACATCTTTACCGCAAAGCCAAGTTCAGCCAAAACTTTGGCATCATCTAATCTTCCATTTCCATAAGAAAGCGTCCTCCCCACCTTCATGATGCAACACTCAGAAGTCAGAATCTAGTCACATATCTAATTTGCTTATCAACCCACAAGAAATATGTGCAGTTACGCTAACTGTAAATATTAGTTGTCGTGACTAAATTTTAATTCAAGCTGTCAACCCACAGATGCCACAACCTGCTGTCAGGTTTGAATTCAGATTGGCATATCACAAAGAAACTTTTCTCTTTTTATGATAGGCATATCACTAATAGCAACCTAAATTTAAATCAACAATGCAATCCACTTTTACACTGAAAACATCAAACTCACTAAACTAATCAATAAATTCAACTAAAAATTTCATCTGCGCAGTTTTTTTTTTCCTTTCCCTTTTTGATGCTTGAGCTTCTATTGATAAAGGAATTTGTAGAAATTGAAGATATATAGATAATAATAATAATAAATAAAAATATTGGCAAACAAGCCACACAAAGATCAAACAGAAATTACAAAACCAATACAGTATTTACAGAAGGGATAAGTCAAGTCAAAACAATGACTTGGACAAGATTCTGAAGAGAGTCAGGATATTAAACATAACCCTTGCATGCATAAACATGGGAAGTTGAGAGATGAAAATAATTTAGCATTAACTATATGTGGTTTCAATATGTATGCTGCGAGAGAGTGAGAGAGAGAGAGAGAGAGAGAGAGAGAGAGAGAGAGAGAGAGAGTAACCTCTTTGACCACGAAATGGCCATGCCTATCTGGATATACAATAGCAAAGGACAGTTTCGCATTTCTCCTTCTAGCTGCAGGAGCAACCTCTTTGACCTGAAAAAGAAACACAACCAATTACAAGACCCAAATGGTGAAAATAAAGAATAGTTTCTATGAATAACTATCTTCATACATACATATGACTATGCTATGAAAAGAAACATGAATATTATACACGTGTACAAATGCAGACATGTAAGTATGTGCATCCACACAATGACATATATGATATACACCACACATGGAAGAGAGAGAGAGTTTCAACCAGATCAGTTAACTCGCGAAGATTAGCATCTTTCCATGTATAAATTTGAACTTCATCCTTAGGCTCCTTTCCTCTCACTGCAAAATCTTCATTGGTATGATGACTTCCAACCTACCAAAAAAAGCCAAGAAGTAAAATCATAACAATGAGAACAACTTCCACATATGACTTTTTGTCCAGAAAACTAAGAACTATTAGATCTTCAATAAGCAGAGACAGCCCACCATATGTACTGTGGTCAGTCAGCTTACATGTTTTCTCTAAAGTTTAAAACAACAATAAACCAGTTTTGACATGTTGTTTCTTTCAGGTCATACAAATTTCTTGACATCTATGTCCCGCCTAAGTTTCAAAATGACACTGCCTTGGTAGCGGCAACTGAGAACTGGAAAAATAATGATATACATACGGGAAGAAAGTACAAACAAGAGAACAGTGCAAGAATCAGGATAACACGAACACCATAGAATATCCACAATCACTTGTAAAAGACAAAGACCAAGCTTTATTGAGAGAACTTAGTGAAACCATACAAAACACATGAGACACAACATTGGCAAAAAAATTTCCTTTTTTGCTGCTGCACAGAAAACCAAGGGAAGTATACCACATAATAACCTAATGCCCGACACTGCCCATATAGATGGACAGAGACAAACTTCCCTTCCCTTCTGAGTCCCAGAAAGGCTTCTCCAAAAAGTTGAAAACCCATCATATAACAATAACTTTCCCCTTCTAAAAGTAATCTCTAAATAGAATTGATCATGCTACAAAATTATTGAAAGCAAGTGCCCTGTATAATGGTTTTGTTTTTGGTACTTGTTTAGTATTAAAGCCAATATATTTGTCTCACTTCTGAAACCATAATTCTCACGTATCATGAAGAAGGGTTTCTTAAAAAAATTAAAAACTGAAACTTATGAGCAACATAAATGGAATTACAGCCCAACAAAACAAACCCAGTTCATATCTGAGCATGGGTAACATACCTTAGTGAAAACTCGAAGCAACAAGGGACAAGTCTGCAGTCCAATGAGAACCCAACAAATAAAACCCATCAATGTAACCAAAAAAAAAATCTTATAAAAGAAAAGTTTAAGAAACAAAAAGGGAACCTTTTCGCGATCGACTGGGGCAAAGCGAGGGCGAGGAGGAGAGCGAGGACCTCTTCCCTGTGGCTGTGGGGCTAGTGCTCTCTTCGGAGCTTGGGCTACTCCAGCCATCTCTACCAACTCTCTCGATACTTCTTTCTCCAACCTTCTGCTTCTGTTATTCCTTCTGAGCTTTTGTCCTGTTTCTTGTAAACTTTGTTTCTCTGTTTCTGGGCTGAGAATGGTTATGGACTGTGAGTCTGGGCTGTCAAAGATATTCTAAGCTTTCCAATAACAATGAATTGGGTGTACTTGGGCCAGGAGAGCCTAATT